GAAACGTCTGGGGGTGGAGGACTTCATGTATAGTATCACAACAACGAATATAATAGTGCTCAAAGTAAGTACAACCATCATAAATATAATTGAAAAGGTTACACCATGGAATAAGTTTACATGTTTCAAAATCAATTACATTATGATGACAAAATGAAACGTTTGACGATTTATCGTCCCATCCTCAAAATGCTGTTGGTTTTCCTGTTTCACTGATTTCCTGAGAATACAAGTAGTTTTGAAAAAAGTGTCAACAATTAAGTTGGTGAGTTCATAAGAGTTTTGTTTGAGAAAGAAACCGTTTTCCTTGTAAAAGCGACAAAGTATGTTTCCAGAAAATCCAATATTTTCTTTATTAAGTAAAATGAATGCTTCTATGTTATGCGATAATGAACCCTAGAAAGACCCATAGATTCCTTCTATAATCGCCCAGTGTATATAAGTTATATAAAATTTATGTTAAATAAACCGTCGAATCTAATGGGTCTGCCCTAGGTCCACAACCAAACAAGGAACAGGAAGTAAGGCGGGCCCACCAATTCTAAGTCGATTATGACTAGATTCTTATATAACTCTAGCATATACACTTAGCAGTTATAGCTGAAGTCTAACAATTCTAGACGAAATATAGTTTTAACAGAGATATGATTCCAAAGAAAATCCTATATTTTCCTTATAAAAGTTATGTGGTCCTAAATCCCAGGACCGAAAGTAAACAAGTATTTTCCATACTTAAAGATATAAAAGTGGTTCTAAATCGGCATAAAACCCTTTTTAAAGTTAGGTAGTCCTAAATCCCAGGACCGAAAATAGTTAAGTATTTTACCATACTTAAAGATATAAAAGTGGTTCTAATTCGGCATAAAACCCTTTTTAAAGTTAGGTAGTCCTAAATCCCAGGACCAAAAATGAACAAGTATTTTCCCATACTTAAAGTAATTTTTGCAAGTTTAAATCGACATAAACTCGTTTAGTTTTAGAAGTAAAACCCTTTTTCAAAGTAGAATTTTCCATGTAAACTTGAATGATTGTTAACTACCTATGTGAGTCGCTATAACCATACTATGACGAGAAATAACCTGCACAACGTTTTTCAGACGTTAAGATACTATGACTCTTGTCACCCGTAGACCTGCAGGTCCCACTGCAGCTAGCAGCAAGGTGTGGGGTGTCAACCCCAATATAGATCTATACACAATTATCACGCTCTCCCTACAAGAGACTCTGGTTATAACTTACAGGAATTGGGATCCCGTACTCGAACGTACGGGGAGAGAACTGCCTCACAACCTAAGTTAACTAGTTTACACATAGTTTGATATTAAAACCTCTTCCGCGGAGGAAGAAAAATCACCTTCTTTGAATAAATAGTGATACGAAATCCTTAAACTATTACTATTATAGTTTATCACGTAGGATATGAAAAAACCCATTTGTTTTGAGAGTAAAACCTTTTTCGTGTAGTAAAATCCATAAACTATCCTTATTGAAGTTTATTATATGTGCTCGAAGCGAATGAGTAAACCGTATCATGAATGACTAAATTTCAGTTTAAGATGATAAACTAACAAGATAATACATTCAATATTTAGAACTTATGGTTATGCACTTTGCTCAACATATTACAAAGTGTTATGAAAGTTATAAGCCGTTAACTAGTTTTTAACCGTTCTGCACTGTTTTAGAAAAATCATAGAAAAATCATACGAAGTCAAAAACTGAATCCGTAAATTCTGAGAGTTCATAAAATATGTCTAGTTTGTTCATAATTTTTATTATGATTTTTGGAAGTCTTTAACTTGTGTTAAAATGTTCATATTCACAGACTGGTCCAAATTCGTTTTTGAAATGATAGGCAGTTTTGTAAAAATCACCATAAATCGTAGAAAAATCGTATGGTGATGTGCAAGTAGTCATTTTAAAGGTATGAACCTGAACTATTTTCACCTAATACAGTTTTGAAAACTAAAATGTTTAAGTTGACCAAAACATTCCGTGAATGGAGTTGAACTTTTCTGATGAAGGCTGTTAAATGAGTTTAGTTGTGTTCTTGGTGTTTTAACTTGTATTCCCCCCCCCCCCTTAAAACTTAAGAAAAACAGGAAAAGATAGGGGTATGAACTCACCTTGAGTGATTTCAGTAGATGGATGATGGAGAAAAGAAGTGCTCAACTCAAGAACACTTGGGAGGTGCTTGAAGATTTGAAGATCTAACACAAATATGACGATATTTGTGTAAGCAATCTATGATTTGGATGAAAGATAGTAGAATATCTAAGTGTGGGAGGAAGATACTTACCAAATGTGGAGGAAAAACCCAAGACCAGCCTTTGAATCTCGAATTTTTAGAGAGAGAAAGTGGAAGAGAGGTGTTTGTTCTTCTTAAGAAAGAGTGAATAAAGTGGGAGGAAAGGGGAGGATATCTCCAGCTTTTGTTCAACATTATGGCTGAAAAAGAGTGGGAAAAGGACAATGATTGACTAGGTATGGGTGAATAGTGACTAGGGGTTGTACTATGAAGGTATGGGGAGGTTGCTTGTGTCCTTGTTCAAAGGATAAGTCAACACTCCTCCTAAATATCTTACCAACTAGATTTTATTCTTAGGCAAGGATTTTCCCCAAAATATAATTAAAATATGAATATTTGGGGTTTATTATGTTAAAATACGAGTTTGGGTGAAAATCCCGCGTTAAAATCTCGAAAAACGGGCTCAAAACGCTAAAAATATTGAAAACCGGGTAGGAATTGCTGAAATCCAAACTTCAGGGCCGAAGGTGCACAGGTTCGGCTCCTTAGGAGCATAGAACCGAAGGCGAGGCTCGGTTGTGCATGGGAACCGAGAGGTCTCGCAGGCTGCTCATCAGAAGGGACCGAGAGTGGAGGGGTTCGGCTGCGTAGGTGCTTCTCGGACCGAAAGTGAGAAGTCTTCTCGGACCGAAGGTAAGAAGGGAAGAGTCGAAAGTCAGGTCTCGGTTCTGATTAGTCAGGGGACCGAAATAGACCGACCGCTCGGTCCATTTCGGTTGAGAGGGTTTTGGTTCTCAGGAGGTTCGACTCCTAAGAGGTTCGGCTCCTAAGAGGAGTTTCGGTTCCTAAAAGGAGTTTCGGCTCCTTAAGGCTGTTTTTCGCGTAGACTTCCGTTTTCGAGCTGTTTTCGTCAAATTCGAGGGTCGGGATGCCCCGAGTGATTATAAAAAGTTGAGAGAGATTTTGAGAGAGATTTGGGAGAGATTTGTCATACTTGGAGAGATATGGCATACTTAGAGAGATTTGGGAGAGATTTGACATTCTTGGAGAGATTTCTCATACAGAGAGAGATTTGGGAGAGATTTCACATACTTGGAGAGATTTGGCATACTTAGAGAGATTTGGGAGAGATTTGACATTCTTTGAGAGATTTCTCATACAGAGAGAGATTTGGGAGAGATTTCACATACTTGGAGAGATTTGGGAGAGATTTGACATTCTTGGAGAGATTTCTCATACAGAGAGAGATTTGGGAGAGATTTCACATACTTGGAGAGATTTGGGAGAGATTTGATATTCTTGGAGAGATTTCTCATACAGAGAGAGATTTGGGAGAGATTTCACATACTTGGAGAGATTTAGGAGAGATTACACACACTTGTAGCGATTTCTCCTACTTAGAGAGTTTTGGGAGGGTTAGAGTGAAAGAGATTGGGAGAGACTTCTTTTGTGACCTTTTTGAGTGTTTGGCTTCGCAACGCAAGGTTTGTACATCCCGTTAAGTCTTGTTATGATTGTTATATGCCCCTGAGGGTTAAGGAATAATGTTTTATCGAGTAGTTTCATCACTTGCCGTGATTAGGGTGTAGAATTTCCGAACACGTGAAAACTCTAAGTGATACTTTGTATTAAGATTGTGAGTTGTTCAATAAGAAACATAATGGAAACCCTAATGTACAAGGGTTAGATGAGTTAACCGGTTTGACTTGTTGACTTTAGTTGACTTTGACTTGGCCAAAAATTGACGGTTGTCACAATATATATATATATATATATATATATATATATATATATATATATATATATATATATATATATATATATATATATATATATATAAAATATGACCTAAATGATTTTTAGGGCCTAAAGTTTGTTGAAACTCAAATTAGCTCAAAAAATAATCAATTTAGTTTGATTGTTATTGCTAATTGAACACGTCTATATTGAAGAGTAAATGATATTTTTTTAAATATTTATTATATTTGTCTTTGAGGGGCCCTTTTTTTTCTTTTCTCCCCAGGCCCCATATATGTTTGCGGCCCTGCAAATCGCCTCAATTTTCTTCTTCTTACCTTCTATGTTGTTGATTTTATTACTACAGAAACCAGGGAAAAAGTGTAAATTTTTGGAATGGATTGATGAAGAACCTGAGAATATGAAGCCCATTGCAGAAGATACTCTTTCAGATGTTGCAAATTATCTTATACAAGTTTTAGAGGATGTGGCATCTGTTAGAGAAGAAGTGAAACAGTTGAAGGTTATGATTTGTGTACTGATTCTGCTGGTCATTGTTAAGGTTATGTTTTGGGGTTGAAGATATGCTTCTGGAGGTTTTAGGGGATTTTGATGTAATAGACTTGTTGTGTAATTCTTGTTTATGTAATGGATGTTGATGTACTTTATGTTTATTTAATGGTAAAGTTTATTGCTATTATGTATGGATGTTGATGTAATTAAGTCAGTCAAATGGAGGTAAAACCAAGACAAATTACAGGAAATATTTTTTTTTTTATAGACAATTGGATGTAAAGACAAATAAAAGTGACTGACAAAAGGCATTAAGCCATTTAATAATTACAAAAGATAAGCCCACCAGGAGGGGTAATACAGTAATTTAGTTCAAAATATTCGACAAGTACATCAAAAGTAAACAACTAGTAGGGGTAATATAGTAATTAAGTTCAAAAGATTACCCCACAGTACATCAAAATATATATCACATACATTACCCCACTACACCAAAACCTAATTACTTTAAGGTCACAGGTTTGTCTAGGCTACATCCAGTTCCATCCTTGAGTTTAACATTTTTCTGAAGACTAATTTCTGTGATTTTTTCTGAAAACTTTCTCACCCTACCAGCATCATTCAAAGGAACCTTCTTCATAGGACTTCTCTTCACATTAGCCTTCTTCACAGGAGCTTTCTTCACAGGAGTTCTCTTGACAGGAGCTGGAATTGATTGACTTGGACCTGCTGTGCTTGAAGCTGGAGTTGATTGACTTGGACCTGCTGTGCTTGGAGCTGGAGTTGGCTTACTTGAGCATGTGGCTTTGTTGTGGCCAGTTTGGTGGCAAATGGTACATCTTAGAGGAATGCCTGCCCTTGACACAGTATGCCTTGTGTGCCCACTTAGCTCTCTTTCTGCCTGATCTCTTTTCCTTTTGACACATGGCCTGCCATGTAACCTCCTCTTTAATGGAGGCAAAATAGTATGAAGTCCTTCAACATGTGGCCACTCAGAACTGTCATTGAGTGGGTGGATGTTATACTCATAGCTACTAAGGAAAGAGGCTTTAGTATAGGAGTTTGATACAAAAGCCTCCACATCTAGGTTCAATGATGAAATTGCTGGTATGACATGTACACATGGAATGCCTGTGAGTTGCCAACTTCTGCATCCACATGCCCTCTGATTCAGATCAACAACATACCTCTCATGTCCTGAGAACACTTCAAATTCTTTGTAGCCACTCACATAAGGTACCCAAAATCTGTCAATATACAAGAAGATAGTCAGTTACCATTATAAACCAATGTATAACTAATGAAATTGTTACTAACCTTTGCAATTCTTTCAAATCCTCTATCTCCCTTCTGATACTTGGGCATATGTCCAAATCCCAACTCAAACCATTTTGCTTCTGCATCCATAACCTCTGCATTGCCCAACATCTTATGTCCTCCAACATTGTTATCAATGGTTTCCTTCTAGCATCAAGTACAACAGAATTGAAACTTTCAGAAACTCCATTCTCTACTGCATCACAGTCCATACCCTCTCTAAAAAAGCCTTTGACCAACACCTTGGATCCCTGTCTATGAGATAGTCATAAGCCTTGCTTTCCAAGGACTTAATCTCATTTATTGTTGCTTCAAACTTTGGTACAGTTGTTGCATTAACAGCCCTCCAAAATGGTTTAAAGTATTGGTCTCCTTTAAATTTTTTATGGAAATTAGCTAGAATGTGTCTAACACATAATCTATGCTCCACATCAGGAAATCTTTCCTTCACAGCTTCAAATAATCCATGATTCAAACAATTAAATGATTAGTTAATTAAATGATCAAAACAATTAAAGTTAATTGAAAAAAATAGAATGATTACCTTGTGGCCATCTGAGAGGATTATAATGCCATGACCATTCCCCCCTCCAACGTCTTCCATCAGATTGTCCAAAAACCATTTCCATGTCCTTTTGTTCTCGACATTGACTACTGCCCAAGCTAAGGGATAAATATATTATTAGCATCTCTACCCACTGCTGATAGGAGCTCCCCTCTACAAACACCCTTAAGAAAGCAACCATCAACCCCAATTACCTTTCTGCATCCATCTAACCACCCATCCACAACACCTTTAAAGCTAACATAAAACCTATCAAACACCACAGTATTATCAGGTTGTGGCTCCAAGAACACCTCAACATGTGAACCTGGATTAACCCTTCTGATTTCAGCCGCATAATCCCACAATTTGGCATAATGTTCTTTCAAACTTCCCTCAACTTCAGACAATGCTAACTTTTTTGCATTCCTACACTGCCCAACACTCACATTAATGTTGTATCTCTTAGATACTAGGGCTTTCATTTTCCTCAAACTCAGTTTAGGACTCTCCAAAACATCATTCACAAATTGTTTCCCTATCCACTTATATGTTACAATTGACCCAAGTTTGAATGCTCTAGAGCACTTGTGCTATGTTATGAGAGACTTAATCTGAAAAGTGTGTTTCCCTTTCATCCAGGAAGCATACAATCTAAAAGGGCATGTTGGATTCTTTCCTTTACAACATCTAACTAGCAACCTAGTCTTGTATAACCATTTGCTATAGCATAGTAACTAAGAGAGTATTTAAGTTCAGCAGTAGTAGAGTATTTCATACCTAATCGAGGCTTCATCTCATTCCATTCCTTAGTATGATCATGTCTTGGGTAGATAGGTCGTATTGCATTATGATCTTCTTGAACCAAGTCATCATTCTATATTGGACAAAGTTTGTTGAGGAAATGATCATTGAAGTTTCTTTTGAGAGATATAACTTCATCGTCCTCTACATGTTCAGCTTTCAGACCATCTTCTAAAAATGGAGTCAACATCATCAATAGAAACCAAATCTTCATCTTCAAGGTCTGCTTCTTCCTCCTGAATCCAACCAAACAAAGGTTCATGATAATGATCCACATACATATCCAATCTCTTCTTTTCATTGATATCTTCAAGAAACTCGTTAAAATCGCAGTCATTCTGAATAACATGTAATCCCTCCGACAACCTCACTTCATGTGGACAATAATACACATCTTTGCATCTTCCGTTAGTAAGCTTTTCAAGAAAGGGGATGAAATCAGGGAAGTTCATCTTGTTCACAACCGTGTATGGTACAGAGGCTTTTACTCCATTAAAATACATCAATGGGGTAGGTGCGAACACCCCATTATAGTGTACATCAACGATTGTATCTGCATCTTCTGCCATTGTTGATGGTGATTGTGAGTCAAGAAGTTTGAGGGTTATTGGCTGAGTGAATGGAGGAATGGCTGATTAAATGAGCCCTAATTGTCGTTTCAATGTGGTGTAATTTAACAATATCCACGTAAGATGACTTGTGGATGCCACCTGGTTATTTCATTTCAAGAAAATAAAATAAAAATCGTATATGACCGGTAAACCGGCTATAACCGGTCAAAAGGATTGCATAATTACAAAAAATCGGGTATAAGGGTTTAATTTACAAAAAAAAAAAAGAATAAGGACTAAATGTATACATTTCAAAAAATAACTTAGCCTATCAAGTCATTATCCCTAGACACAATATAAAAATCAACTTTGTTAATCATTTAGTACAATACTATCAAAGTACTACACTACAATAAAATTTAAAAACGAACATTCAGTACAATACTATCAAAGTACTACCTACACTACAATAAAATTTAAAAACGAACAAAATATGTATATGGATATGGTTATGATCGGATGATTTCTTTGGATCTATTAAAAATGTACAAGAATATGATATATATGATCATTCATCCTTCATCCAATGCCTCAAAACATGTGATATAAACCCTAAACAGAAACAAAAAGCTCCAAAAATTACAAGAATTCGAACCCACAAAATCGAGTTATATGCCTTGAAAACAATCATTTCCCATGCAGAAAACCATAACACTGAAAAAATGGACCCCATAATCGCACCCACAACAACTTGGCTTGTAGTGTGATATCGTAGTAAAATCCTTAGCCATGACTGCATAAATAATCCAATTCGAAAGTTTGATTAAAAACAAATTCGAATTATAGAAATAATTAATCCAATTTTAAATGTATGAATGTATACTTACGAAATAAGAACCAAGAGCTACAACAAGCACACTAAAGACGCCTGTAACTACATTCAATCCCTGACCTCTGATCACTGTCATTACAACATGATGATGATGATGATGATGATGATGAAACACATAAAAGTTTCAGAAAAAGATGAAGTTATTAAATGAACTGATGATCGAGTTGAAAAGAGTGTTAATTACCTGATAATATCAAGATTAAGGTGGCGTAGAAGATGGATTGAGCATGCGAAGATGGCATTCCATGGCCTGAACTTACTCTAGATGCAGGGCGTTCTTGTTTCAAAATCTGCTTCAATGTGATTGATAGTATAACATTGAGAATAGATCCCATTGCAGCCCATAGTGCAAGAGCATCGTGTCTCAACAGAATGAATCCACCGAAAATTGCAGCTACCACCCATTTACTCTGATACGCAATTTCAACAATCCATAAGAAACAATCCAAAACAAACTAACGATTTGAGGTTATTGAGTTTTCTGGCAGAATCTAATCTGGATATGGGGAAATAAATGTAAGAAAACAACAATACCAACCAATCGATTAACAAGTGTGTGTAGCCCACCAACTGTTTGATGAAATGAATCACCTCCATAATCGATCAAAGTTTCCTGTTCCAAAGCAGAAACTGCCGGACTAAAACGTTCATCACCACCATCGTTGAGGATCCCCGTCTCAATCGATCCCTCAACCTTCATTTTCTTCAGTCTAACAGGTTTCGGATACCCAATTGCAGATTCTTTCGAGGTACGAAAAACGGGAGTAGAAAAGGGGGTTTTCCGATGAATATCGAACTTATGAAATTGGTTCAAAATTGGTGGTGGGTTTATCAAGATCGACACCACTGCAAACAACATAGTGTAATTAGAGAAGATGATGAGGTGATCTGCATCGATTAGGGTTTATTTCCGGATATATTGGAGATGTTGAGATGGATTGAGAGGTTGTTATTTAAACAGGTAGGTGGTGTCGTGTAGAAAACTCCAAAAAGGAATCGAAGTAGTTTGTTGATCTTGATTCCTGCATTCAAGATTAGTAATTGGGGTTTTGAAATTGTTGCAACTGGATCGGTAAGTCAACTATCCACGGCAGCTTTCAGGACTGGGTCAAAAGACTTAAACTGGACACGAAAGGGCATATGCCTTGTGCATATATGGATAGGGTTCATATTGTTATTAACAATAGCCTATAATCATATAATAATAGCCTTGTTTTGTGTTTTAAATTTGGCTATTAAAATGATATGTTTTATGTTTTTGTCTAGTTTTATATGATTACGATGAAGAACTCAATAGGGTGAACTTAGTCCTTCGTGTATACACACCACAAGAAGGCTCGTGGTGTGTATACACCTCATCATCTTCTTCTTCCATCCTCCTTCCATTCTCAATCCGGTATAATCACAACAAAGGAATGTGATCGTGGTGGGTTTAAGCTGCAAGAGAGAAGAAGAGAGGAAGAGAGAAGAAAGAGTCTGTGGTGGATTGTGTTGGGCAACACGAGAGACCGTGCTCGTGGTTCTAGATCAACACCGCGAGAGGACCGGGATGGTGTGCACGGACAACCTTCGTGGCCACCTAGACCACGAAGGGCTTCGTGGTTCGTGGTCCTATACTGAACGGTCGTATAGAGGAATAAAAAGATGGTAACATGTTGTATTAAAAATAGGATAAATACCATAAAAGTCTCAAGTTTTACACGCGTAGTTAGGAAAAACCTTATCATTTTTTGTTGATTTTCTCCATAATTTTTACGCAGAGTTGTCACTCTAGTCCACTTAACCAGTTTCATGGTTAACTTTGTTATATTTCTTGCAAAATCAGTCCTAAAATTGCGTTTAAAGTCCAAATTTGGTCACTGTAATTTGCAAAAAATTCTACCATATGTCTGAAAAGTTTTCAACTTATACCACATGACCATGTAGTTTATGACTGATTTTGAGATTTTTCGGCAATAATAGGATTCTCTGGTGAGACTTTTCCGACGACAAGAGGTTGAAATTGAGGGCATGTGTTTGTCCGCGATGGGGAGAGGAGTAGAAAGGTGATAGCGATTTGCAGAATGGAGGGGTGGTGGAGGTTGTAACAGCCGTTTTCAGGTGAATGTGGGTTTTCGGAAGCGAGGCTCTCCGATGGAGATAAAGAAAATGAGGTTGGTTAGGTTGTGGTCGCAAGGGTGGGGCGAACACAGTGGAGGCCTTAATTTGTGGCTTAATGATGATTTAGGGGGTCAATTTTGAAGTTGCATGTGGTTGTGGCGGTGGCTATGTCGACATGAGATGACAAAGTTAACCACAAGGACCAATTTTGCAAGAAAGATAACAGAGTTAACCATGAAACTGGTTAAGTGGGCTAGAGTGATAACTCTACGTAAAAGTTGTGGCCAAAACCAAAAAAAATGTTAGGGCTTTTCCCAACTATGCGTGTAAAACTTAAGACTTTTATGGTATTTGTCCTTAAAAATAAACTAGATTATTATTCATATTTGTGAAATACATGGTTAGTTTAATAAAATTAAGTAGTAACCGAAAGCTAGTAGCCGATATCTCGTAATTGTTAACAATTAGCTGGAAGCTAAAACTGGTAGTTAAAAGTTGTAACTTTTATATGTTTAGAAATATTTGACAAACTAGACATAAACTTTTAAAAATGCAAATCCATCTAAATGCTAAAAGTTAAAATCTCATAAAAATTTAATGAAGTAGCTGAACTTTTTGTTTAAAATAAAAATATTTAAGTTCGTATTTCCGAACATAATCTTTTTCTTTAATACAATTTTTTTTTACTTTTATCTTTTTTGAAAAGTTAAATTCTAAAAGTTTGCTTCCAAACACCCTCATAATCCATTGAAAGCGAAATACATTTATATGTTGAGTTGAGCTATGAGGTTGGTACCACACAACACCATACTTTTTGCATAGAGGGGTGAACTTCCATACTTGTGGATCAGGACTTGGACCCATACCTTGAGCGACACCGGTTTTATACTATCAAGTCGGTTCTTGATACATCAAATCATACTCAATCGGTTTCGGTTTTATTACCAGTTCGATACACCAATTTTCGGTTATTATGGTTTTTCATATTTTCAACTCTTATATGTATTTTGTAAAACTTTTAAAAATAACATAAATCATTCGTTTGAAGCCGGATTGACATAGTATGATTTCGAACATGTAATTTAGGATTTGTACTTCAATTTAGGTTATCATTTCATCATTTTTGGGGTAATATTCAATGAGTTACATTCTCATGAAGCCGGGATATGAAAGTTGAAAGTTTTTCAACTTTTTAGCTTTTATGTGTAATCTGTAAAACTTTTAAAATTTCATAACTCATTCTTTTGAAGTTCGGATTAATATGAGATACTTTTCAGCATGTAGTTTAGAGTTTGTACTTTATTTTAGTCTATAATTTCATCATTTTTGGTTCAATATTCAATGAGTTACATCAACATACCCTCTTTCTCCACAATCCATAGCCACATATAAATAAAGAAACTATATTGATATGGTTGTTAATTATTCGGATATAAATGGATTATCTAGTCAAGTAATTCGTATTGGAATCCATGGATAATATATTTCAATTACCGGATTAGGTTCAACGAAAACAAAACTAGTATTATGAATTTCAGTTAGCAAGACGAGAACCAAATAGTTTAAAAAACTAAATGACAATTATTTATTTATACACATACACACACACACTAGATTATGACATGCGTTTTTACGCAGGGGGGGATATATACGAAATAGATATAAAGGTATAAAAAGTTGGCACAATAATAAAACAAAGATAAAGTAACAGAAACAGACTTAGCGTTATTGGTAACATTGAAATGTCTAAAAAATACAATGAAATGTCTAAATATTTATAATCCTTGAAGGACCTCTTTGTAGACAACATTTTTTATTTTATTAGTTGGACAACCTTCCTCGTCACATACGAGTACCTTCAAGCCTCTTTTACTTGTGAGACACGAAACAACGACATATAACTGACCATGGGTGAAGACGGGTCTACGCAAAAAAATTACAACATTTGACAATGATTGTCCTTGAATTTTGTTAATGGTTACAGGAACGTCAAACAGCTATGGGTAATTGCCTCCGTTGAAAACAG